TTTTTTTTTTTTTTTTTTTTTTTTTTTGGTGTTGCAAATAGTTTGGTTTTGGTTTGGGAAGGGTTTTTTTGTGGTTGTTTGGGGTTTTTTTCCAAGTTTAAGATAGTTATTCAGCACTTGGTGCTCCTAACGATGAAACAGAGAAGTTATGCCTCAACTCAAAAATAGATGAAACTATTTAAACTTTATTTAGCAATATTTAAAAAGCACCTGAATTTCTACAGTCCCTTGAAGCTCTAGGCCTCTTGCTGCTTCTCAAACTACCACAATCCCATACTCCAGCAGAAAAAAACCTCAACACCAACTTGTCACACAGATTTACTGTGTGTGAAGAACTAACCTTAAGCCTCTTGCCCTGTTCTTTTAACTATGCTGTTGGATCATCAACTGATTCATCTGATTTCCCAAGTCTGGGGATACAAGGGACACATTCCATTCACAAGTCAGCCATGAGACACAGACCCCAGCTGCAGCCAACACAATAAAGTGAGATGCAGCTACTTTGAAGAAATAACAGGATTAGCAGAGAAAAATCCAATGAGGAATGTGCCCTAAGATTACAGGGACAAAAAGTCAAATGATCACTAGGGCTGGTTCCCAGCTCTCATTTTTCGAAAGATGTTGGAAGTGTAAAAATTCACACCCAAAAATGTAACCCAGCAAGCAATAACCCAAACAACTACTTCGGGAAACTTTCACAAGGACGTTTTAGCCGGACTAGAAAACTGGCAAGTTTCCACAACCAACTGTCCTTATAGAGGTCAAGAATACCCCATGAAAAGAGAGTTTATCTTTGTTTTGCTTCTCATTTTCCTTACATGTTTCTCACCCTCCTGATTATGCTTGATGCTTAAATGCTTGCTTAGCATTTAAGCATTAAAAATGGCATTGCCACTCCAGACCCGTGGTTTTTTCACACATTTTATAGTTAGAACAAGCACATTCTTATCCCAAATCCTGTCAAAAAGAAATCATTAAATCTCTCCTCCTTTTGTACCAATCCCACATGTCTGGAACTGGTTAATTTTTCTCCCTCAACCTGCACCAACACATAAAACTTGAAGACTGTGGGGGAAATCAGTGGTCACGTGCAAATTATTCTGTCTGTAACCTGCATAGCCTTCCCACAGGCTGGACACACAGTTGGAGGTTTACCATCAGAACAAAAAGAGACACCTCACTCCCTACAAAGCCAACACCTGGATTACTCCCTGCAATCGTTGCAAAACAGACTCTCATGGAAGTAAAAGCAAAAGGAAAAAAAAAGTCAATAAAAGCCACTCTACAAAATTGACTTCTACATGCTGGACATTATCCTTTTTTGTTTTCTCTTTGATTGCATTAAAGTACTTCTACCTTTAGTACTGCTAAATAAAAACACAGCATTTGTATGTGCTCTCATAGCGGGCATCAGGGATACCTATCAGGACTCTCATTACTCTGGGTATTTCAATCCTCCCAAAACACTCACTGACAAGCTGCTGGTCTCCAAAAGCAATTACATATGGGTGTGAAACTTCAAAGATCTCTGAACCTGGATCATGATGCTAAAAATAAAAAACATTGCTGCATTGACAGCATTCTTTTTCTTTAGCCAAAATCATTATATACTCTCTCTCAGTGTTCATCATAAATTCTCTGCCAAAGAAAACCAAGTTTTCTAAAGAAGGCTGAGTAGATCAGAAAGGTACAGAAGCACCACCACCAGAAGTTAATCAGTGCAAGAATACTCTACTTGCAGACAACCGTTTTACCTCTATAAGGCTCCTGAAGCAGATGGTAAATCCATAACAGACATACCTGAGCAAGCTCTCTCTTTGGTACAGTAGGACATTTTTTCCACAAAGGCTGTTGCTCAATATGTTACATCAGTCCTGGACAGAAATATTCCAAAATAATTTATTTATAAGCATTTCTGCACCGGGAGCATCACAGGCCTAACAAGAGTAAACTCACAGTGGATCCTAAATACAATCAAAAAAAAAAAAAAAAAAAAAAAAAAAAAAAAAAAAAAAAAAAAAAAAAAAAAAAAAAAAAAAAGAAAAAAAAAAAAAAAGCACAGAGCAGGTACGAAACTTCAGCCACTTCAAAGAGAACCCGCTAAAACTTTCCTTCAGTTCTTCAGTTTAACTGCTCAAGGAGTCTAACATGTTATTCCCTCAATTCACCCAGAGCTCCCTCCATCTCTCATTTCGCAACAAGCGCTGGCAGCATTTGGCTACAAGTTTCTTCATCGCAGACCCAGCTGCACGCTGCTCAAACTCCAGCGCCAGGAGCCGGTGCTTTCGCCGCTGGGAGCGGCGGCACAGGGAGCGCCCGCGCCGCTGGCACAGACCCGCTGCGGGAGGGTCCGAGGTGCGCGAAGCCCCCGGGCGGGCGCGGAGCAGGCACGAAATAAAAAATAAATAAAATAAAGTCTGAGCAGCTCGCAGGGAGCGCTCGGCCGCGTGCCTCCCACGGGAGAGCCTCGGGACGCGCCCGGTGCCCGCGTCCAGCCCCGCAGAAGGGCTCGGGGAGCTGACCACCGAGCTGCCGCAGGTAACCCCGGCGGCCCGGGCTGCCGGCGCTGCCGCTCCTTCCCCCGCGGCCCCGCACGGCACCGCTGCGGCCCGGCCGCGGGAGCACCCGGGCGGGGGCCGGCGGGGTCCCGCCGCCCCGGGGGGAAGAGGGGAAGGCGGCGGCGCTTCCCCGCAGGTTTCGGCGGCGAGCGCGGCCCCGACCCCGGCGCGGAGCCCCGTCCGCTCCCGGGCGGGCAGCGCAGGGCGGGGGCGGCCCCGCCACCCGCATCCCCCCGTACCTGCGGCCGTGCCCGCGGGCGGCTCTCCGTCCATCGCGGCCGCGGTCATGTGAGGCCGGGGCGGCCGCCCTCCCCTTCCTCCTCAGCGCCCGCCTGTCAGCGCGGGCGGGGCGGGCGGGCAGAGCCGCCTCCCGCGGGGCCGGGGGCGAGGGGCGCGGGGGGCGCGGGGGTTCAGCCCGGCCCCGGCCCCGCGGGGCTGTGCCGGGTTCCAGCGCTGCGCAGCGCGGCCCCGCTCGGGCAGCGCCCCGGCTCTGGGGCTGCGCTCGGACCGGCTCCGGCAGGGGCACCGAGCCGTCCCCGCCGCTGACCAGATCGCTGCGAGCGCCTCTGATCCGTAAAACACATCTCCCAAGTACCTTAAAGCGTGTAAGAAGTGATCGGCTCATGGGCTTAGTACAGGATTATTCCGATGTATAACTGCTTTATTTTTTGAAATCTGAAGTGATGGTTGTTGTGAACTTCAGGGAGGCTTTCTTGTGAGCTAGGAAAAGTAGGTAGTTGTTGAAGCTGTGCTTTGGGTTTCCAGTCACGCAATCTCAGAATCAATTGGGTTGGAAAAGGTCTGAAATGCTTGAGTCCAACCTGTGACCAAGCACCACCTTGTCACCCAGACCGTGGCACTGAGTGCCACGTCCACTCTATCCTGAAAGACCTCCTGGATCTGTGACTCTCCCACCTCCCTGGACAGCCCATTCCAATGTCTCAGCAGAAATCCCTCCTGTGAAGAAATCCCTCCTGATGTCCAGCCTAAACCTCCCCTGGCACAGCTTGAGACTGTGCCCTCTCATCAGATGAATTACTCCAAGCTAATTTTGGTATATTTTCTTCAACCGAGTTCCTTTTCCCGTGGCATTTCTACCGCCATCCAGGTGATTAATCAAGTCTCCTATTCTCAGTATTTATTTATATTTTGCATGCATCTGGATTTTTGGTAAATTTGGTAGAAATGAACACTAAGCTATTCAGAAAAGCACAGAAATATGAACATTTGAAATGCAAATACACTTTCCAAAACTACATAAAAACAAGAACTTTGTGTATGAGCACCTCTCATTTTATTAGGTTTTTTTTTTCCCACTTCCTGTACTTTATTAGTCAGGAATGATATAGCTGACATGGTAAAAAAAAAGGTGCATGTTTTGTACAGCAATTTTCCTAAAAACACTGTCAGACACAAAAAAAAATTTATAGATTTTGGACTTCCAGATTGAGGTGTTACAATCCATAATAATGCTTTATGTTTTCAACGTCCGAAGGACTAGATGCATTCCCTAATTAATATTCCTGATATTTCTTAATCATGGGAAGCTAGTCACCTCCATTGTGCACAGGAGAGAACTAAAGTAGAAAATTATGAAGTGAGAATTGTTTCAGGGGTAACTGTGACCACAGTGCTCCCCTTTGGAAGTTTTTGCGCTGCTACAAAGATGTGAATGAGTCGAGTGATTCTCCTTTTCCTCCTCCCTCAGTGCTATTTCAGCTCAGTCCCCACGAGCGTGGGTGCAGACGAAAGCTGTGTATAAAATTAAAAAAGCATGACATTATTTAAGCTGAGAGGCCCTTCAAATCATGTTTGTGCAGCAGCTGAGCAGAGTTCTGCATGCTCAGCACTTCTGAACACCACAGGATTTTTCGCCTATATGGCATTTTTGGAGAAAATGAATGGAGGAATCAACATGTTCTCATTTAGCTATAGATTTTTGATTGGTCTGTACTTAAGCTAATAGCATAACTATTTATTTGGTATAAATAAGATATTCTCAACTGAAGATTGCCTTGGAGTCTTGAAGAAAAATATTGTGGAAAATAATTCAATTGCAGAAATAATTTTTCAACAGGATCAGAAAGAGTCTGCTTGATGTAAGTTATTTAACACTTCTGTATTTGCTGTAACTGCAGCAAAAGCTTCTGGAAAACCTTAAGAATAAACAATAAATACTAAAGAAAAAAAAGGACACATGTCAGGAAGGGACCTTAAAAATCATCTTGTTACAACCCCATTCTGTGGGCAGGGACACCTTCCACTAGCCTGGGTTGTGCCAAGCCCCATCCAGCCTGGCCTTGGACACCCCCAGGGATGGGGCAGCCTCAGCTTCTCTGGGCACCCTGTGCCAGGGGCTCCCCACCCTCACAGGGTAGAGTTTTTTTCCTAATATCTAATTAAATAATCCTAATATCTAATCAAAACCTACTCTATTTCAATTTAGTAAATAGTCTCTCTCCATGTTTCTTGCAGGCCGCTTCTGGTATTGAAAGGCCACAGTCAGGTCACCCTGAAACCTTCTCTTCTCCAGGCTGAACAATCCCAGTTATCTCATCCTTTCCTTCAGGAGAGCTGCTCCATCCCTCTGAGCATTTTATTGGCCTCCTCTGGACCTGTTCCAAGAGGTCCCTGTCCCTCCTGTGCTGGGACCCCAGAGCTGGATGCACGACTCCAGCTGGGGCTCACCAGAGGGGCTGAACCAGCAGGTTCCAGGTGACAAAAGCAAAGCAGAAATAGGTCCCTACCCGAGGCCCTGCCTCACAGAGTGTCATTCTGGGCACGTCCTGTCAGGATTAGATGAAATTTCATACAAGAATTTGCTTACTCCTTCAGAATTCAGTTTAGGAAACAGAGCTGTCAGCTCCACTATTCTCAGATCACCTGCACGCAATAAAATTCATGAGGCACTGCTGGTTGGAGAGCTGTGTTATAAAAAGCCTTTCCTGCAACATTTTTTCCCCCCAAATTTCCCATTGATTAGGAGTTTTGCATGTGGAGTACTTAAAGGAACAGGCTTCAGCTGCCAGTGCCAAAACCTCTGTTTTTAAAAGTTGTTCTACTCTCCCTCAGATTGCTGAGTAAGGGCTGGAAGAAAAAAGACTAGCAGTGAGATAGGACAGGGACTGAGGGGAAATTTCAACAGAGAAAGGAAAAGGAGAAGGAAGGAAGAGCAGATAAATCAAAAGTTGCTGAAAAGTAGAGGAAAGTGCAAAGAGCAGCCTGTGCAATGTCAGGGAAAGGAGAATCCAATGTTTAGATCCACTGCTTAACCAAAGGACTGGAAAAGTGCAAACAGGAAAAAGGGCAATTGCAGAAATTGCACATTCCAGCAATGCAGACAACGGTGGGAACGGTGAAACAACAGCAACACCGACCTCATACACAGCCCTGGAAGAGCCACGGAATACTGAGCACCCAGCAAGGACCATGGATTGACCAGCAGCCTGTCCTGCCTCACATTTGGAAAAACACACAGTTGTGATGGCAGGAAACAGCACTTTCTGTTCACTTCAGAGTCAGTGCTGGTGCTGACTGGAAGTCAGGGTCTGGTCAGCTACCACGATACCAGGAGGGGAAAAAATTGCTGCAAAGTGGCAGTCATCATTTCCATTCACCGGAGCTGCCTTCAGCAGGGAACGGGCACACTCAGCCGGGGGATTGGAGTGGAGTTTGGATGCCATCGTGTGCCTCCCTGAAAAATTACACAGCACAAAGTCTAATTTTAAAAATGTCATGTACAGTACCTTCTCTGCCTTTTTTTTTTTTTTTTTTTTTAATGCTGGCATTGTCTGTTTTGACAGTTAATTGAAAGCATTGTGATAAAAAAAGAAATCCTACTCAACGCAAGTGTTTGTCTCCAAGTTTGTACAGAGGAGCCATTCTCGAGAACTTTTTCCTGTAGAATTGTCATCTCAAGGTAAATTCCAAGTTCTTTGAGCCACACTGAATATACGATACATATATATATATATATGTATATATACATATATATGTATATAAATACACATCGTGACACGAGTCACACTTTATGTATTCTTTGTATTCTTCATCAGCCTGAGGTGCCCGGGACAGCATGCGATGCTTTAATCGATAACGTGTGGCCAAGTCTCTCGGGTCAGTCATGCTGGTAGCCAACGTGAAGATAGGGGAGCTTCACCAGTTCAGAAACCATTTAAAAATCACGCTGAGCCGCCAGGACTGCACACCGTGACCCCTCAGATCCCTGTCCTGTGCGTCCGGCTGCACCGGGAGCTCACCGGACCTTTAAGGCTTCTCGCGGGGCAGGCAGAGATGCCGCAGCATGGCCACTGTCACCTTGTACCTCAGGAAAAATGTTATTTCAAGCCCACAGAGGAGAGGTGGGGCCAGAGCAGCGCTCGGTCTCCGCCGCCGCCCTCAGCCCCGCGCCCCGTCCCG